TTGTCGTGTAATTTATGTCCCGAAAAAAACCCATATTTTTTTATTGTTTCTCCCGGCTTTATGTATTTGATCTTTATTAAATATATACTTAATGTATGTAGGTAGGGTGGTGTTACTATACAGTTAGAGTAAATTTTTAGATCTTCATAATTTAGTGATAGGAAGTACTTAGTGTACAGTTTATAGTCTTTCAATAACAATTTTATAAATGTTATAAAATCATATCGTTTTCGAGCAGAGGCACTTCCAACAAGAGGTAGTGGGACTCGGTATGGGTGTTGAATTATATTAGATTGTGACGGTGGAATTGAGCGATGATATCTTATAATTCGTTTAATAAATAGCTTTCTAATGCGAAGTACCTGGGAGTTTTGATAAAGTGCTTCAGTAGCGAAAAGGAAGCTTAAACATAACTTTCAGCAATTTTCTTTGGGCTCTTTCAACAATTATCATTTGGGATTTAGCAGCCCCACCCCATGAAACTACACAATAATTGATGATATATTCCCCCGAAGCCTTATAAACATTAATAAGAAGTTTGTGGTCAGCAACACAACGTAGGCATTTCATATGATGTATAAGTTTCCTTATACGACCTGCTACTATATTAAGGTGTAAGTCCTATTTCAGGTGATTGTCAATAGTTCCCCCCAAATATTGTATAGCGTTTGCTTGACTCAAGTTTTGCAATCACCGCTACTACCAGATTGCTGCATATTACAGAAGTTGGTATGTATGCGCAATTTTAAATAATTTTATGGGAGAGAAGCTTTGGTTTTGCTAAAACATAAATATTTAGTTTTAGAGATATTCAGAGAAATTGAGTTGTTCTCTAGCCATGATATTACGATGCTTAAGTCCTTTTCAAATAAATTTCGTAATCCCGTCCAGCTGTCACTGTGGAAAAGAAGTACAGTATCGTCTGCGAATATCATAAGTTTGCTCATATTCAACCTACAAAGACCATCAATATATGTATAAATAAGAAAAAGAGTCTGCCCAAGTGTAACTTCCTTGCGGAAGTTACTATATTATATTGCTACATGGCAATACATTACTAAAGTGTCCATTACCCTCACTCTTTGTCATCTGCAAATCAAATCGTTTTTAAACCACTGATACGTAATATCTCTAATGTCAATATTTTCCAGACAAGTTAACATTATGGGAATAGACAATACTCCTAAATACTCCTAAACACTTTTCACCCCGATCACTATGAGAGTTTATCAAGATGATAGGTTATGTGGCTTCCTTCCTGGCTTCTTAGCAACAGTAACCTTAAGTACAGTAAAACACATTCGCCGCCTCAGCGGCGTCCATCGTTCTAATCTAATCAAAATCATAGCGTACCAACGAGCTAGACTTATAGGTGTTTTTCGTAGGCACACACCTTTCGCTGGGGGAGCTTCGTACAGATCTGTGCTTGTGTTGGCATAGTAAACAAAATGGCGTCGATAACGATCGACTTTTTCAGTCGAGCCTGCCCCGATATTTGGGTTGTGTTTCTTGTACAGCGCCTCCGCGATGTCCACCCACGATCCGTCTCCAGTCTTTTTGGACCAAGCCCGCAGAGAATTGTTCCCCTGCTGAACGTTGGTAAACGCTACCGCCACCCATCATAGTACAAGATAAAAACAAGTGGAACAACCTTTCCATTTGGTTAAACTTCTAGAAAATTTACTGCCCAAAGGTTCAAAATGCCGGTCAGGCCATTCGAATTTTTGTGGGGACGACTGAGGATTTCCGCAGTGTGACTAATCACCTGCGCGCTCAACAAGTCAGTTTCCATACCTACGCCCTCCCTGAGGAGCGTTACCTGTGTGTGATTTTCCGCGGAGTTCCCAAAGAGCTTGAGACCGTCCACATCCTAGACGAAGTCAAGGCCCAAAATCTCCTGGTCCGGAAAGTGCCCAGGATGCACCACCAGATCGACAAAAAAGATTCTTGCATTTTTGATTCTTAAATTTGACGTAGGTGTTGTCAAAACATCTTTAAAAAATAGAATCTAAGATAAATACACACGTAACAAAATATATTCTGCTATAATATTATAAATACAAGCATAATGCATAATATATATTCCTATACATACAGTAATACATCATATTCATAATGCATACATAATATATTCTGTTATCATTACATCCTATCAAATATCCACTGCTGAACAACCCAATAGATTGCCTTACAGCTGCTTTTTGCCATAGTTGCCACGCTTAGTAGGCGGATTAGAATCCGCAGTGTTTTATTTTTAGTTGTTATAAAGGAAGACGATGCTGCTCACCTCTTGCTTTGTTTTGTTCTGTGGCATTCTACAAAATCCACGAGAAGATATGGAGTAGTGGATATTTTAACACCGCTACTGTGATATTTATGTGCACACATACATTAATACCAAATAAATAAATCGTAAATTCTCACAACCCAAATTTTAAAGGAGAAGAAAGAAAGAAAGAAAGAAACACACAATTTTGGCATAGACCAGAGACGAATACTATATAATTTATAAAAAAAAATATTTTTGGACTTTGTACTTCGAAGGCATGCCAAAAAATGTCATTAATAAAATGAGCTGTGGTGAAACTACAACGCTGATTTAAATTACTTGTTAGATGATTTTCTGATCTCATCAGGCAAGGAATTTTAAAGTAGTGCAACCTGGACCGTGAAAAAGAAGAAGTTACCATAAAACCCGGTGAAATTTGTGGAAACATAAATCTTACTGTTAGAGGAAGTTCAAAGAACCCTATCGAGACAAAACGCGAGGTACTGAAATTTATCTTAAAGGTAGAAAAGCAAGTATACATTATATACATGAAAACATAAATAAATAATATCTAAGTTTCATCAAACTGCTCGAATTGCGTTCTTTATAGCTGAATAAAAGTTTTCTCTCGCAATCAGCTGATTAAAGTCGTGAACGCACGCAATTACTTCTTTTAATACACTTCACTTAAGGTATATTTTACTTCACTTATTTCTAAAATGTAAACGTACGTTAACCTAACGTTAGTACGCGAATGTTCTCTGCAAGAAAATTAGATGAAAGCTAGTAATTTTCTGGAAATTAAGAGTTTTCCCGGCTTTATTCACAGCAGTAGACTGTATAAAATAACTTTTTAAGCAGATTTAGTGCCCGATTCCTTTTTTCGCAGGATTTGTTTTATAAGAAGTAAACTTAGTTGGTAAATTCAAATAGAAAAATATTCTGTTTCCTACAAAATAAAGTTTTCTTAAAGTTAATATGTCATAACTTGTGCCAAACTGTATCAATATGTAAATGGAAATTAATATAATTGGGTTATATAAGATATTTAAAAAAATACAAAAAATAAATATCGTACGGAATTTGATTTATATAGAAATTGATATAGAGGTAATGTTTTAAAAGTGCTATTGTTTATTACTGTAAAGATTGTGTAAATATGGAGCAAAGTTTCTTGATAGTTATGAATATCTGATCTGATCTGATCTGAATCTCTGAAACAAAAAATAATGTCAATTTATAAAATTTGAAGTACCAAGATTGAGCCATTTTTGCTTGTACAGCCTTCATATATATTGTATAGTAGCAGTGTTGTTTTATCATTGTGATAAGTTTGGGTCATTGGTAATCAGTATCAAGTGGACATTCGTCTTTGTCAATTGAACCGTAACCAATGATTTCATAATTTAAAATTTAAAATTTTGTGCAACCAGCTTTAATATAAATTATTAATAATAAGTCACAAAAACTATTGGCCAGATCTTGATAAAATTTATATGGAACCAAATCATGAGAAGCACCGGCTTTCAAACAAAAAAAAGAATCATCGAAATTGGTTCACCCAGAAAAAAGTTATCAGGTAACACACATAAAAAATGAAAATCGAAATCAAATTGAGTACCTCCTCCTTTTGGAAGTCGGTAGAAAAGTAAGGATACGCCCATCTAAACATTTTACTTATACCTTCTTCATACAAGCAAAAGTAGCACCATCTGTCATAATAAATACGAACTACATGAGTGCGACTTTGCGTTGGTCGACGACGTAACCAGGATTTTGTAGTGTAATAATTATACTATTTGTACCATTATTTAGTTTGTAGTGTCTTAATAATTAAAATAAGTTATAAATAAATAATACCTATATTTTCCAATAACCCTATTTCATAAATTAGTGGTGAAATAACCCCAGAGAGTAATTTAGTACTTATACTCATGTTGGTGTTTTGCTCTTACCCTGGTGCTTAACATTTATACAAAACAATACCACTATATAGGTATAATCATAAATAAATTTTATATAAATATAACATTAGCATAAAATTATTAATATGCATATTTTTATATTATGTTATTTATTTTATTAAACTAGTGTTGCTTGATTTCTTAATTATAGTGGAAATTATTATTTTTAATCTTTCATGCACAAAATTGTACATATGGCGGACTTAATGCCATAGGGTATTCTCTCCCAGTCAACCATTAGGCTAAAGAGAGATATACAAACAAGAGGCGGTCCAGCAGTAATCAAAAGAGAAAGGACTAGAAAATATTGTACATACATAATATACATATATATATACATATAGACCCACATATATAGACATATATACTTAAGCACACACCATATATACATATATAAATACATAAATACACATATACATGCATTCACTACATAATATATACACAATACATATAAATATTATCTATGTCAGAACAAATATGAAATATACAATTATAAATTATTAGAAATGTTAAAACCTTATGTACATAAATATACAAATATAACTGAAGTGTTGTCTGTAATATCGAAATCACTGCCTTTTATTGTGCTCAGGGATTTATTAACATCTATCACGCGTGGTCTATCCGTCCGGCCTAATTCTCAGAATAGCTAGTCGATTATGATGAAACTTCATGAACAGATAAAGAGCAATAACAGGAGTGATCTAGGTTGTATTTTATCTAAAAACTTGGATATTTTTCTGTTACAATTTTTATATTCCTTACAGACTCAAAGCGGGATCATTGCAACAAAACGGTAGAAATCTACGAGGACGTGTCTTCACCTCCCGTGACAGTCGAAAACTTTGGAAGACCACTTACTTGTACATATAGGTAGGTGTATAATATTTTAAACACTTAATTTGTTTTAATGTTCGCTTATTCTCACAAGCTTAAGATTTTTTCTGTATCGTAAAAGCAGTTACATACTCGTATATAAATTGCACGAAGACATACATCCAGATATGGAACAATTATTTTTTAGATAAAACAAATACTGGTTCCGTGTGGGGTTCGAACCCGAAGCACTAAGTAGCTGCTTTTTAATGAAGCGCGTCTTTGTTCAATTTATTCTTCTTTATTCAAATCTTCCACCGCACTTTCGTGACTACATATGGTATTTAAGACTCAATAAACTCACTCCAGTGGATATTGTAAGAGGCGACAGTGGGAAATGTCAGAAAAATCTTATAGCTTCCAATAAAACATGGCAGTATGACTGTATCGTATAATATACAGTAGCGTTAGAGATGCGCCACGTCTGTACTGTAACCACCAAGGGTGACGATTACAGCAAATCCTCTCAATAACCAAAGAGGATCATACAAACAAGTGGTAAAATTAATAAGTTTGTACAATCGGCATCAATATAAATTATTAAGGATAACTCAAAAACTAATGATCAGAACTTGTTAAAATTTATATAGGACCACATGAGAAGCACCAGCTTTCAAATAAAAAAAAAAACATGAAATCAGTTCATCTAGAAAAAAGTTATTATTTAACACACATAAAAAACAAACAATCGAATTGAGTACCCCCTCCTTTTTGAAGTCGGTTAAAAAGTGGACTTTATAAGTTAAGTTACAGCCTATCAAAAGTCCACAGCTGAAAATAGGCATCCGCCATATATTGTCTTATAAGGTGGATATTTTCCATAGTTGCCACGGTTGGCATGTGGGTTGGCAAATGCAATTTTTACATTTCAAGTTGTTATAATGAATGTGCTGCTGCCCATCGCCTGATTTGTTTCCCTCTGTTGCCTTTTAATACTCTCACATTACGACATGGAGTAGTAGATTCACCGCCAATACACGGCCATAATAAAATATAAATTAATAATCGATACGGCGTTAATGGCGATGTGAAAGTCAGCGCTCCTTGTTCTTGCTGCTTTTATATTAAGGCGTTTCCTTGACCAAATAAATTTGAGCATTCGTTCCCTCTTTAGACGTACGCCGCTTTATCAAGGAATTCACACAACTTTTGGAATTATTTCAATTAAAAAAGAAAAACGAACTTCAAAAATTAAATAAAACGTGAAGAATATAGATTTTTAAATTATATATCCATTAGTGTAATCCTCAAACGATTAGAGCGTTGCCTTTAGCAACATATGCATGTAATCAATAATTTTAATCATTTTAAAAAGTAGATTTTAAATGTATTTATAGCACATAAAAACAAATTAGAACGTGGAATGTGATGATAGGATATCTAATATTCTAATAGTCAATGAAAAACGCACTATCGCAAGGTTTTGGTCGGGGTATCGCCTTAACAAGCGGTGGCAGAAAACTGTGTCAAAGTTGCATTCTGCTGATTGCCCAGGATTGCGATTGTTACTTCTTATAGCAATAAGGTACCTAGGTCTTCAGAAGTATTTTTACAGGCTGACGATTATGATGAAAAGGGATATTCTTCGCAGGGTTAAGGAATTTAAGGAATTTTCTCGCAGAGCTTAATTTATTTACTTTAATTTATTAATTAAACGCGATAAAATCCGTAAAAATAGTTTTATTCCATGTGTAATGTTCGCGTAAATATAAGAAATCATTATTTACTTTTGTTCGCAGATTCAGAGCATTTCGTGGATCACCAAAAGACTGGATCCTTAGGATTAGGTTTAAAAAATTCAAAGTTGGTACATTAATCAACGGTACGACATGTCACAAGGGCTACATGCAGGTAAATTGTATTTTTGTAAATGCCGTTTGTTTTATGAGTCTTTTTTTCACATGGAAATATGACAAGACGTATCCTACCATTTCAAGTATTTAACGTATGTAATATTACAGCACAGTATATAAATATAATATAATATGCTGTAATACTGCAAAAACTCTTAGCGATCTTCTTCTGCATGGTGACGTAAAAGAATCCGCCCCGTATCAGATGCCGAGGAAATGGGCAGAAGCATCTTCCTGATAAAATCTGAAAAAAAAAACTTCAAATTCGGACCCGCCTGCCAAGTGTGACAACTGTAGTAAATATCCCTTCTGAGCACATTTACTTGGCTGTAATAAATTAATTAATTATTAAATTTCATTCGTCCCGTAGATCTGGGAATAAACTTTAACTTTAAAATTTGTGGTACGCGTGCAAACTGATTTCTATCGTCGTCAGCATCAATAATATTGTAGATTTTATATCCTTATTTACTAAATACTCGGCGATTAGTGTATGGTAGTATGTATATAGATATAGTGAAGGAACCAGAGGAATTATAAAATATATAATATTTCAAGCTAAGTTCCCTAACACGAATTAGAGCAGTGTGGGCGACACTTTCTTTACTAACCCTTAGCAAAAATAGGACATATTGCTGTTACTATTCTTTTTTACTTTTCCAATGACAGATCAAAATACATTCAACTTTCTTTTTCTATTTTTGTCCATTTTCTAATTGTGACTGAGCATTTTCATTTATCTTTTTTGGCTGTTTCTATGATTTTTTTTAAAGGGTAGGTTGACAAACGAGCACACAGTCCACCCGAAGGCAAGTGGCTGCTGTGATCCATAGACATCTACATTTATCCTCAATAAAGAATCAAAATTCAGATGCGTCGTCACCAGTGAGAACTAAGATGGAATGCCTCTTTTCCAGTAAAATGGGTCTCCGGTTCTATACACTAACCATACGAAACACAGCAGTGTCAAGCTGCCATTTTACAGTGGTATTCACTGAGAGCGTGGTCCTTTCCGGTAGAGTCGACCAATTCGTGCTACAACTATATTACTAATATAGCGGCAGCATGGCTCTACCACGTAGAAAATTATTACAGTAAAATTAAATTAAACTTGAAACAAATGTAATTCGGGCTTTGTGCTGGCGGTGTTTGACAATCTATCAGCCCATTTTGTCCCTTGGGTGTCATAAGAGGCGACTATAACCATTTAATTTACGTCCGAGGTAAAATACGCAGTCCATTGACGGCAACACCGTCAACGGTGCGAGACGTTAACAGTTCATCTGATGGTAAGTTTTTACTGCAGTCCAACCACGTTAAAATTAAATTAAAATGCGTAAATGCGTCTGCAATCATACCTTTTGACCGCATTACATCAATGTACGACCTGTCACTCGGTGTCAGAAATAGGCAAGAGGGAGGTACATACCCAGATTGAGACCTATACAGAAATATAGATATATTTTAGCCCTGTCACGTAGTAGATACATAAACAAACTTGCGTTGTCATGTTTAAACAATACTCACTATGATATTGATATTTATTTACATTTATCATTTTAAAAATTTTGATATTTATACAGCTCAACCAGATGAGAAAACTATATAAATACCCAAAAATTATACAAAGCAAATTTACATTTTCACTTGAAGTAATATTATACAATTGGCATTACAGTAAAATAATTACTTAATTTTAGAAGTCATAATGCTAAGCTCCTATACTTTCTTATAGGTTTTTCTTAAATAGCTAATTGACATTCATCTTAATTACATGGGTTAAAATATAATATTTGTATATATTATTCATGTGAAATGCAATGTAATATAATGAACAAAGGATTCAGTTTCAAAAAATATTCCACAACAATCTGATAAATTTTGTTTCACCTAAAGGAATTTGTTGAACTGTTTGAAATTTGTTAATGATTTGATAATTCTGCTAATGAATTTCTGAATGTTGAAGGGTGACGGAACTCCGGAAATAAAACCGACGAAATTTGAACCAATTTGGACGTATAATAACTGAATCGTTCGCCTACTGCCGGACTTAAATTGAGACGAGCTCTTGTTCTAATTGTTAATCGTAATAAAGCTTAAATCAGACTTCTAGTGGAATCGGCAAAAATGAAATAGATTTTAATGCCTTTATTTTATTTCATTGCATTCATTTAAAATGTGTTGAATATGTATCATCATCATAATAATTATTCATCACCATTACAAACCCACGGCTGACTATAGCCTACCCCCACATGTCACAAAACACGGTCGCGAGTCACATTTCATCGACTTCCTATATCTCTTACCAGGTCATCATTTCATCTAAAAGCGGATCGTCCTACACTTCACATACCGATATAAGGCTGGCGCTCGAGAACCTTATCGGATGTCGGTTATTAGAGCTATATGGCTGTAATGTTGTCAGTTCAGCTTACCTATCCGTCGAATGCTTAATTAAATGTCAATTTTTTGGATTTATGAAAAATTACAGCATAATACGTCCCATAACTAAAGTATAATTATCCTTAGAGAAATATTAGTGCAATGAAGAGTGCAGTGCGTGTTGGAAAATATGTCATCGCAGTATTTAAGTTCAATCGTCTGCCAGTGGTCGAATTGAATTAGCTGGGTACTATCATATGAAATTCAAGGTCAGCCTCTGATCACCAAGGCTTGTGACATATCAAATATTAAAACATAATCTTTATTTTAAAAGCCATCTGTTCAGAAAATTAGGGGTTTACTTACTTATAATCGTAGATTATAGCATAGTTAAGTATTAAATATCTCTATACTTGTGTTGTTTTAATGTCACTTAGTGAAGAACGATATAGAATTTTAAGTATTGCTTAATTTAACGTCATTTTTTTTAAAGTAAGGCCGTTAGAGTATTCGTTTGAGGTACGAAATACGGAAATACCTGATTTTCGTATCACTATGCCTCGGTTGTACCCTAATCCCGAATTTATAATTAGACAATAGAAAATAGGCAAATCTTTATATCGACACAGAACACACCACACTTAATAAAATACTTATATTTTACATAACACTTATAACAAGGTACCTATTTTTACATATAAGGATAGTTCAATACAACAATTTGTTTCAGATCGTAGACGGCAATGCTAAGACTGACGTATCAAACAGAAAGGAACCGGGCTTGTTCTGCGGTGAGATCGAACAACCGCAGACCTTTATATCAGAAACTAATTTCGTCAAAATAGTTTTCCACGCTGACAATTTCACAGACCAAACATACTTTAGCTTCGACTCAAGGTTAGTATCTAATTAATCTTAGAGCCGTGGTAGCTCAGATGGTTAGCGCTCGCTGTAAATTTCACAGTATGGGAGGAAACCGGGTTCAATCCACGCCGGCACCAATGAAATTGTTGATGGCAATTTTAAGTGCTAATTTACCACGTGCTTGGCGATGAAGGAAAACATTGTGAGGAAACCTGCTTGTCTGAGGAATACGGAAAAATAAAATAATTAATAGTCACAGGGTGACGTATACAGGCTGTAACTTTAACTTTTATCCAATAACCTTTATCCTTAACTTTTTTTTCATTTAATTTTATTAAACAAAATATATTATGATATTTTTTGTAAGTTACACAAAAACTGTACTTTATGAAAGTTAAATGAAGTTCCTATCTATCGAACACGTTTCAATAAGGAAATAGTATTTTTGTCTGGAAATTGAATTGTGTATGTATTTTTTGAAAGTTGTATTGTCGAATGATTATTTCTAAATGACAAAAGAATTTTAAAAAATTGGCAATTTTATTAATTTTCCAATTGTATCTGGACATTTGCAGCCAACTTCAAAGGCTATAGATACGTTGTCACCTCTGAGGAGAAAGACAGAATACTTCTTAGCCTGCAATTATACTGGTTTTGTATACTCTCTAAACAAGAACACAGCACCATACATATCCAGACGAACTAGAAGGCGCATAGAACTTTGTTTAAGTTACAGTGTAACGTCTGTTGGTGACCCAGTTAAATAATTAATAGAATTAGTCGTTACTTTGCGGAAATTCACTATACTAAAGATGTGAAAAATAATAACTAAGATCCGCGTGAAACATAAAATGTTGTGTCTAATCCTAGCTTGAAAAACACTTCCCCCTCTCTTACAATTGTGTGAACTATCTTTGCCACCGTCAAATTGGGATTAGTTTATTAATTGTCACCTAAAATAAATCACGTTACATCAATTTAACTATTTGGAATGTTAAAACAATAATTATATAACCGATTATTTAAATATTTTTTCTGTACAGAGCGGAGCAGCAATTTGAAGTTTACCTGCGTTACGGTCAACATCCTGAACTTTATCCCAATAGAAGAGGAGAAGTTGTCGCAGGGTATGTATTATTAATTTACCTTAGACAGTGTACTATTTTAGAAGTCTGATGGATAGTGACTATCGAGTATTTTTCATTAAATAGCAAGAACTTGTAAAAATGACAGCTTATAATATGTACACGAGAACCTCGCAGAAGTAATGGCAAATTTCCATTTGATTTTAAAATGTTTCTGTCATACTAGGTTCTTTTTCTGTATCGTACAATCGTTTTTAAATACATAAACTTCAATCAATAATTATAAAAAATAATTGTAGGCCATACAAACACTACTTACCTTGCAAAAAAAAAATCCTTGCAAAATTAGACGGCTCCACGGCCTCCTAGCTACATATAGTATACATAATATATACATTTTAAATACAACGTATTATTCAGTTTACGGAAAATTACATTACTGACAATAATTAAGTTGAGAATTTGGCCCAGCGTTTCAAACGACTCCAAAATTTCAAATCAGACAATACCGAAAATCTTTCCATGCGATTTAATCCAAAATTTTCATCACGTTCACGTCAAAACCTGCTTTTGATGTTCGTTCTGCAATTTGATAGGGAATGATAGAATCACTGAAGCATAGGTGAAATATAGTTAAATAACTGATAGAGCAATCTGTGACGTTTCTGGAAAATTAATTTGCTATCCATTTATAGCTTCACTAGATACCACTTATTGGAAATTTTTAAATACATTGTTAAAATGTTATGGCATTTACTTGAATAATATTTTTATTTTTGATATTAAGCTTATTATTCAAAATTGAACGCTAAATGTTATTATCTTTTCTTATTACAAGTAATGTACTCCAGACAGAATTTCGGTCACGGTGGCCAGTCTCAACAAAGACTAGTAAGACAAGATTATAGTGCCCGAGAGTTTAGCATAGCACAGGTGCTCTCTGTATTCCTTCATTTTCACATTACGATGAGACGGTAATCCGACACGACCGAAAAGAGATCAAGCGCAGGACCAACGACATTACATGCTTTTCGTGGCACGGAGGTGTAACACGAACTGCTTGACTCAAGGCTACTATTAAGAATTTCTTGCCAGAAAATCAAATAACCGATTTTGACCCGACCCGGGATTCAAAGCCGGGACCTCAAGATTTTTTGCGTTTACAAACACTCGACCAAAAACGACAACTATAAAATAACAACATAGATCCTTAATTTCTTATGAATTTGAAATGATTAATTATTTGTTTAATTCTTGTTGAAAGCTTAGAGCTGTGGTAGTTCAGGGGCTAAGAACTCGCTGTAAATTTTACAGTACGTGAGCAACTAGGGTTCAATCCCCACCGGCACCAATAAATGTGTTAATTGCAATTTTAAAGGCTGAATTACCACGCGCCCGGCGGTGAAGGAAAACATCGTGAGGAACTTGCATGTCTGAAAAATAAGAAAAAATAATTCGAAGACATGTGAAGTTCTCCAAAACGACATTTGCTTGCCCTAAAAACATCTAAGAATTGAGAGGATTCCTGTGCCCAGAAGTACGACGCACATAGGCTGTAACTATAATTGTTTAAAGGTTACAAACTGTCGATGTAATAATAAATATTCATGAAGGATTTCGCGCAATCTTTTATTAAAAGTACTTCAGTATCCCCCAATCAATCGTCCATAACGACTACACATGGATAGTCTCCATTGATCCAGTCACGGCAGATATTATTATTACTGTTATAATTTCTAATTAAGGCCAGCGTGCATTTTTTGTGTCAAAATAATTGATAGTAATTATTTTCTATGTAGATCATACTGCGAGCGAGTGTTTCGTGATTGTCGTCTTCAAACATGCTACGTCCAATCCGCTGCATACCCAGGGGTATACCCAAGAAACCTACACTGCAGGTAAAATGTTTTATTTAATTTAAGATTTAGTGTTCAATTTTCTAGTTCTTGTACTACCAAAGTCATACCGATCATACTCGTATGACGTATAAGTTGTATCGGACTCGGACAACTTAAAAAGTGAGGTTGCTACTGATATATTTTTAATATGTCTTTTGTATCTGTTATGAGTTGAAGCTGTCAATATATATTTTATTCTTTGTTAACTTACCGTAAAACTACTCCAATGAGCTTCATCCGCAAGATTTCTTTTGAGTATCACAGATGAGATGAGAATATCTCGTCGCCGTATTTCCATTATTCTATCATCTACTAGAATAATGAGAAAGAATGAGATCTTTTTGGCACTACGTTTAAGCCATCCAAGGATCAAAATATGCTGAAGGAATCTTTTTCGCGGAAGCATTGCAAATGTTTACCAAAATTAGGCGGGAGAATGTTAGAATAATATCACATGTCGATGACCCGATTTTATTTCCTTATTTTCCGTTAAAAAAAAAAGAAGTAACCACATGCTATGAATTTAACCTACAGTACAGATGTATGTAACTGTGGATGCTTGATATGTACAAAGATTTAAAAAATCAGAGATATTACGTAGGGTATTTGCACGCTTGACTTACATCGTCGCAGCCAAATTCTTAGCTGCTGCGAAATCAAGCCTAAAAGGTATATTAAATAATGTATAATGTTTCCGAGACTGCCTCGTTGTTCTAGTGGTTGTAGTAGTGTGACTGCTGAGGTCCCGGTTTCGAAACCCGGGTCAGGTCAAAAAAATCATTTATTGAGTTTTTTTCATTAATAAATTCTTAGTAGCTGCCCGGAGTCAGGATGTTGGCGGTGCCTCACTCATGTGCCTCGAAATGCACGTGAAGCCGTTTGGCCTGCGCCTGATCTCTCTCCTGTCGTGTCTTTTTACCGTCCCATCTGACTAAGAGAGTGAGGAAATAATGAGTGCACCTGTACTTGCGCATACAATTGGGTACTATAAGCCTGTTCAGCGCCAATGGCTAGTCTCCGTTGAGACGAGGCGCCGTGACCGAAATTCGGTCTGGAGGACATTAGTATTGTTACAGAGAGGTAAGGAAGTAGTAAGCCTTGATTTATAATTTTGTTTGGGTAAGGTCCGAATAATGAAATTAAAATAATTATGAATATACTCTTAAATTTATCAAAACTTACGATCTACCCCGGTTTCGGACAGTTTATTTCTAGATCTCGACAAAAGCGCCACCTACCGCACACAGTTGTGAATCTAAACCATCCAGGGACCCACTCAAATAGACACATATAATTTAATCAGAATCAGTCGAGCCATTTTCGAGAATTAGCGAGACTATCGGATAGCAATTGATTTTTATATATTTAAAGAGATAAAACTGAATATATCAACATCAGCGACAGTGGGTTGAAGTGTGACTGCGGTAACCTTTGAACTAAACCATAGTCGCGGCAATTTAAATTATTTATAAATTATTCAGATTTTTACCCTAGAAGCCGTATAAGCCTGGGTTTTCTACTTCTTCGGCCATTACCCGTTATATATTTATAGCATATGTAGTTCATAAAACTACATAGGTTTAAAATATTTATAAAGTTATATAGAGTATAAAATACACACCCAACATCAGTCGCAGGTGTAGGTAGAATAATTGATAAGGAGCTGAATAAAATATTCCCCAGAATAAAGCAAATAACTGTATCGTAAATCAGTCTGATGGCCACCCTTTCTAAAATCACCTTTAATAAATAATTTTGTTGCCTAGGTACCACCTCAACACACGCTTACCCTACATAAAGCTGTATATAGAGAATGAAGAGTTTAATATAGACGGGCAACGCTGTGAGAACATAATGACGTGTCCCATGAGGCCCATAACTTCAGGTGAGGACGTTTTATTTAAAAATCTGCTAAATGTAATGTAATTTTATTACACATGCTAAAGGGTTACTCGTCCACCGCTCACATTACTTAAAAATGGGAGTGATTTATGAAATTATGAAATTATTTTTGTCGTTATCGTAAATATATTTATTGCTACTACTTTATTAAAGAATAATACTTTATTAAAGAAAGTAATGGGAAAAATATATATTCATATTCATATTGTTTATTGCATCCATAATGTTACAGTTAAGGTGTTCAGAACATTTTAAGTTTTAACTTAAAACTATGAGATCATTATGGGCCCTGCAGGGCACGGCAATTAAGAGAGAGGAGGGCCATTATAGTGAAACAATAATGAAAAATACACTTAAAAATAAAAATAGAATTAAAATTTATCATTTAAGTATTCGTTTAGTGTGTAGTAGTGTTTACAAATTAAAATATCCTTAATTTTATTTATAAAAAATAGTTTCTTTTTCATTATTTTTTATCGAGTCTAAGAGTTTGTTAAAAATTTTGATAGACATGACGAAGGGACCTGATGAATGCAGCTTAAGACTAAAATATTTTCTTTAGGCTATATTTCTCTTAAGGGTATATTTTCTTTAATGTAACAAAACGGTGATATGAAACTCTCTGCCTTGTTCTCCATGTTTAAAAACAATAATTATCCTGATATTAATTAGAGTTCTATATATCGTTTATCAATTATTAAGTGTGCTTCAAATTTACTGGTTGCTTAGCGACTGTGTGTGAACTAAAGTGGCAAACTAACTTACAGCCCACCTGTTAATCAGTGGCTTTTTCATACAGACACCTTCAACGAAATTTGAACAAAGAAGGCTTTGGATGCATCACCTCTAAGTACTAAGATGGTATGCCTCGCAACCTGTCATTATACTGGCTCTTACCCCTACATCCTTCACGTCGGCACTGCAGTTGGACTCTAACCTTCTTACACAGAGGAAAGTCCTACCACCTAGAAAAATGATTAAAATTAAATTTCGTAATAAAACGTGATAATCAAAAAAAATTCTAACTTTAAGAGCTAGTTTTAGGATGGGCCATTTATTTTGCATACAATATGCATTAATGATCATTATTCTGCTTAAACGGTGTACCTTAAAACATAATGGTGTTAATACTTTTTACAAATCTTTTACAGGTTCAGAAAATTGTCCTTATGATTACATAAGAATTTATGATGGTAAGGACGAGTCTGCTTCTGTAATTGGGACATTCTGCGGCATGGGAAAATTTCCTTACTCTATAATTGGAACGTCTCAAGACTTGTTTGTAGAGTTCGTCAGTTCACCAGCAGGTAATTCTTACCACATTGTATATTCTCCACGAAGACATATTAGCGCGTTGTGAATAGATTTTATTCATTAAAACTCAAATATTACTATTGTAAGTTTTATTTTTAAAAATCTTATTTTGAAGACAATTTTTATAAATATTATGATATTTTTAGACTTCAAAAATTATTTAATACTACATTTCTCGCTTTATAGTGCTAAGAAGGTGCTAAAAATCTTCTGGTCACTAAAGGTTTTGTAGTGATTCCTGTTCTCATTTCAGACGAAACAAAGCATCACTATGCGCCCAATTCACACAGATATTATATAAACATTGCATAATGGATTTGTTTTTTCTAGGTCCTCTTCTTAACACTGGTTTCCACTTTAACGTTGGAAACTGGCCCGGTCACGTCGAAGCTCCTGGTTCAAGAGTGGGTACTTGCGATTGGCTTCTTACTGCAGAGTCTTTAAAAAAATCGGGTGATACTGAGGGTATATTTTTATCTGTAGCACACTGGTACCCGCCACACACGTCATGTACATATCTTATGCAGGGTTTTCCTGGGCAAGTAGTGAGACTTTATTTCCCAAGGTAAGCGTTACAGAAAATTTGCTTGTTTCATAGATATCACTTTTCCATTACTTCCGTTTTTAAAGTAAAAAAAATATATCATTAATTCAAATTTTATTTAAATTTAAATCAGTTTGTCCTTGGATTTTAGTTTTTGTTGTGTAATATTTAAGGTTAATTATAAGTTAATAATTGTTATTTAATATTTTTTTTATAGGAGAGGGGGCAAATGAGCATGAGGCTCACCTGATGGTAAGTGACTACCGCCGCCCATGAACAACTGCAACTCCGGGGAGGGAATTGCAGATGCGTACGGTGTAAAAAATTTGGCGCTTAAACTTATTACTTCATATTTAAGTAACAGAACTCAAAAAGTCGTCATTAATGGTAAATGTTCCTCCGGATCGGTAGTATCAATGGGCGTTCCTCAGGGCTCGATTCTTGGCCCATTCCTGTTCTTAATCTATATTAATGACTTACCTTATCTTGTAGGGGACAATCACGATATAGTATTATTTGCTGACGATACCTCTTTAATTTTCAAACTGGAACGGCAGTCAATTAAATATGACGATGTAAATAATGCTCTATCGAAACTAGTACATTGGTTTAACGCCAACAATTTGCTCTTAAACGGCAATAAGACAAAATGTATTAAATTTACAATACCTAATGTAAAACATTCGAAAACCAATGTGCTCTTAAATGGGGAGGAGTTGAGTCTTGTGGATACCACTGTTTTTCTCGGTATTACTATTGACGCGAAACTTCAATGGGGCCCCCATATATCTAAATTAGCAAGCAGACTTAGTTCTGCAGCACATGCTGTAAGAAAGATTAGAAGTCTCACAGATGTTGAGACAGCTAGGTTAGTGTATTTTAGTTACTTTCATAGCGTAATGTCTTATGGAATTTTGCTATGGGGTAATGCGACTGATATTGAAGTTATATTTGTTTTGCAAAAGAGAGCCGTACGGGCGATTTATAATCTAAATTGTAAAGAGTCCCTTAGAGAAAAATTTAAAGAAATAAACATATTAACTTTGGCATCGCAATATATTTATGAAAATGTAATGTATGTACATAAAAACATAAATAGCTTTAATAAGAATAAGGATGTTCATACCTTAAACACTAGGAACAAACATAAGCTTGTAATGCCACTTACAAGACTCCACAGAATTAGTAATTCATTTATGGGGCAATGTATACGCTTTTACAACAGAATCCCAGAACATGTTCAAAGTTTGTCAATAAACAAGTTTAAAAGTTTTATTAAAGAAAAACTGTACAAAAAGGGTTATTATAATATCAAGGAATACATGAATGAAAATAACCCCTGGGAATAAGGTGATCGCCACCATGCTGGTTCTATGAAAATTCATTTAAAGTTGTATAAACAAAATTATTGTTAAGTGAAATTATGTTTAAAAAAAAGTCCCGCTGGGTTTCTTGCTGGTTCTTCCCAGGACAGAGGTATTTTCCGAACCAGTGGTAAATAAAATAATGACTTTCAATAAGTATTATGTAATAATCCATATTGAATAAAAATCATTCTATTCTATTCTATTCTATTCGTTGCCGGCCTTTTAAAAGGAGTACGCTCTTTTCTTGAAAGTCCCTAAGTCGTATCGGTCCGGAATCTAATATCTAAATTTTAACATTTTACGAAAAGAGTTTTGTTGTTATTTATGAAATCTAGTGTTATTCTTTTTGTTATAAATTAATGCCACAATTAAATGTAATTATTATTGATATTTATATATTTCATATTAATGCTGGTTTCCATTTCACGTATACACGTTATATGAAAATGGCAAAATTATTAGAAAAAAAAGGCACTCGTACAAGCGGTGGATCTTTAGTTCGAGCCTCACCCAACAACGCAGTTTTGTACTTCGTGTTTTTTAAGCAGATTGCACAATAAGACACAAGCTGTAGCATACATCTACAAGATTTCACATGGACATATTTGTTTACAAAATAAATGTGCTTCACTGTAAGCTTACCAAAGTATAGCATGCCAATGGAAAGAGAGAACTAAAGAATTTGTAAGTTCAGTACGTTTACTGTAGGAGTTCTGCAATAAATATTTGTGAATAAATGTGCTGAAAACAATTTTAGTGTAATCGAGCCAAAAAGTGTGCATTGGCAAATTTTCGGTATGCATATAAGTTTTTGCGGGATGAACTCATAATTTATTAATTTATCATTTAAAAGAAAGTTAAAGGTCATTAATAAAACGTGCAGTATAGTTAAATCTAACTGAAGTAATTGATTAAAATTACACAAAATTTGAGCATTATTGCATTACTTCAATAAAAAAATAATTATTAAAATAAAAAAAAGCTGCAATAAAGATATATCTATTTATTCATAGTTATTCGCAAACTCAGCACTACCAACTAATTTGTTATTTGACTTTATAAACAATGATAATATCACAAAAAACCACGATCTAAAAGCAAGCTTGATGATTTTTTAACATGACGCCATAGAAGATAAAACTTAGAAGTGTAGTGGCCATAGTTTTAAGGTTTCTTAAATTAGGTAACCGAATGTGTGATACACCAAAAACATACAAAATCTTAAGTTTTTATACTAAAGAAACCCATTATTTTTGATTATCAACATAATTCTACGCTTTTAAAAAATATTTTTGTTGACAGCTTTCGCATAAACCGCATAGAATCACCTATTGTTCCATGGAGTGGCGATTGTGGAGAATCTCTTACTCTTTATGATGCCCCTCGACCCGACGACGCGCGAATTATAAAAACCTTCTGCGACACTTTTAGCAGGCCCATGGAGAAACATGATTTTGTTTCAACAGGAAATGCGATGTTTGTGAGGTTTGAGAGTAAAACAGGGAGCTATAGTGGGTATGTTGTTTTAATTACGTAGTTTTGTTTAAATTATTCCATAGAAATAAAACCAAATTTACAAATTATAAATCAAATGAATTGTAAAGATAATTATAAGGCTGATAACCGTAATGCGTTTGGTTTAGAATTCTGTTGAAATTATTTTGATTGGTTGCTACTCTAAAGTTCTCTGTCTATACCATAGACTTAGAATATACTGGCGGGTATATTTTATGTCTATGGTCTATACAACGAGTTCTAACGTATTCTTGAGTTTTATTTATTGATTAATTGATTTGTTCCCAAAAAAATGGCTGCTAGCTGCAAATATCTTGTTTATTATGTATATAGTGTAATATATAGTGATATACTTCTGGCAGATTTCGACTATAGCCAATCACACTATTTTTATAAAAAGTATGAAAAACAAGCACAAAGCGATTTCTGTAGATAATTCATAATTCATTTATTGCATGTCACAAAGTATAAAGTTGTTACAATATATCTACAGAGCATGTGACAATCCTGTACGGGCGTGGCATATTAAGATGGATTCTAATTGTTAATTAATATTAAATCAAATTAAATTACAATTTTTAAGGTAAATAATCTATACATTATTATTAATTAATTTATTAAATATCAAACCAAATAATACACACATTTATTTAAAATTAAATGTCAATAAATATCTCATCGAAACTATTGGTCATTTTAATTCATGTAAATAAGATTTAAAACTTTGGTGAAAATATTAATAATGTCATTTAAGTAAATAGGAATTATAAATTTTGTCAAAATAATTTAAATTTATAATTTGTCATTAAAATATTCATTAAAATTATAATAGCTTTTTACAATAAGCATTTTCTTAAGTACTATTTCAAATTTACGACACTGGAGGGCTTTTATATTATTATGTAAATGGTTGTAAACCCTTATAGCCATGTAGTAGGGACCATTTTTAAATATTGTTAGACGTCTGGTATGAGTAACCAGATTATAACCACGGTGACGTGCGCCGTATCGATTGGGTCTATCCCCAATTCGTTGAAAATAATAAGGACTTTTCCTAACAAAGCGGCATAATTCAAAAATATAAATGCACGTCACAGTTAATAAGTTGTATTTAAGGAACAACTTTCGACATGAATCTCTTGGAGCTACGAATGCAATGATTCTAAGACAACGTTTTTGGAGCGCGGATACCGCATGCACCTCGGTAGAATTGCCCCAAAATATGATGCCGTATCTGATCCAGGCAGCGGCGTGGCTGTGGTATGCAGTAAGCGCCCATTGCTCGTTTGTGTCTTTAACGTTTGTAACTTACTTACTACGCTCTCTATATGATTTTTCCATGAAAAAGTTGAGTCTATTGTTACCCCTAGGAGCGAAAATGTGCGAACTTCCTCAATATTTATACCTTGGTAAGATATAGCGAGCGGGACTTGTAATCTCTGATATGGGCGAAACTGCATTTTTTTTTTGTCTTTTCAAAATTTAACAATAAACCTAAAACGTCCAATTCATCCACAATTTTGCTAAGGCAGTAAGCTAAATTTTCCTGTAAACTAGTGAGATTTTTTTTGTTCACAAGTAATTGTAACTGTCGCTTCGTCTGAAAACAAAACGACTCTATGTGGTATTACTGAAGGGAGTTCGTTAATATACGTAAAGAACAGCAAGCATCCTAGGACGCTACTCTGCGGTATAGATCATTTTACTGTCGTAGTGTACGAGTTTATTTCATTTATCATTCTTCTATTTTCATTAAAATGGGATATCTGTACGTACTGTTTTCTTTTCGCAAGATAAGAAGAGAGCCATTCGTGCGGTTTCCCTCGTATTCCTAGTGAATATATCTTTTCTAGCAAGGGACTATGCAAAACGCGATCGTATGCTTTGGAAATGTCCACAAAAATTGCTACAGCACATCTTCCCTCATTTAGAGCATTATGGATTTCTAAGATGATGTCAAATATAGCGGATGTGGTAGAATGATTTTTTCGGAAACCATGCTGATATCTATTAAAAATTTTGTATTTTTCAAAAAAAATTATATATTGTACTACAAATTATTCTATCACAAATTTTCGAAATTACAGACAGATAGATACTTGTAACCCTTGAGGACTAAGATGGGAATTCCTGATCGAGACGACCCAATCGTGCTGAAGTAATAATGTTGCAATGTGGCTTTATCATAGTAACAAATAACCAGTTTTATGAATACCACAAAATCTATTATTTTATGAGTCCGCTGTATCTATAAGATCAGAAAACGATTAAGATCAATGTCGAGTACATTGGTGACCAATTTACATTATCAATGCCGCAATGCATTTCATTGTATCGTGCATAAATATTGCCCACGTCTAGGATTTAAGCATAACATCCGCCACTAAGGAGCAATGTTTATCAAGAATCGATTTATTTTTTGGATAAAGTTATTGCACTGTTCAAGAAATTTTGCCTTAGGAAGCATAATAGATTTCCTGACTGCAGAATCGTGAATCCGGTGTTGCGACCATTTAGATATAACGCTTGTTCAAAGATATAATAATTTGTTTTAGTAGAGTAAACAAGTTAACTGTGGTCGAAATCTGCCAGTATAATGTCATCATCATCTCACACCCAATCTTTTAAACATTTAAATCGTTTCAACAAATTATTTGTAATTGACTCACCACACTACTGAGCTATATTTATAAACTATTAAACACTGTTACAGATCCTCACTTTATTATTGGGCTCATTATGACTTCTTTAACAACACACGTTTCGGTGAGCCCGTTTCGGGAACTGCATGCGATGAAGTAATAGCCTCTTGGAAACATAGAGCAGGGCGTCTCAGGTCACCACTCAATACCCTCGTTTACAAACAAGCGCCACCTGGAGAAGACGTTCACTGCCTATACAGATTCGTTACAGACAAGAGAATATTTGCAAGGGTCATTTTAACAATTCTCAGTGTTAACTTTAAGGTTTGTTTACATAAAATAGTTTCTTATGTCTAAATGTTTATGTATATAAATAAAGAAGTAACTACAGTTACAGCCTATTAAGGTCCACTGCTGAAAATAAACTTCCCCCATAGATTGCCTCATAGTGCCATAGTTGCAACGCTTGGAAAGCGGGTTATTAGGGAACGCTACTGCCCGTCTCCCGACTTGTTTCCATCTGTCGCCTCTCAGGGCAACCACGGAACGATTTGTGGTAGTAGTAACTAAAAGGTGATTTTTTTCGTATATATTAGGCATAGCTTCTATAACATTTTTAACCTTTTTTAAAAGTAAAACGGTTAAAAATGTATAATTATAACGCATCAAAAATTACTTATTTGCAGGAACATCCTTACACTGCCGTTTCCTGCCAAAACTGTTATGAAGATCGAGCTGATAAACTTATTATCTGGGAGCCACACCCCGGTGGGAAAGCAGCAAACACATCATCTAGTATAAGTACAACACCTTTACCGCTTCACTTAGCTGTTCAACGATCTCTTGGATCTTGTCTTTGTGCTAAACATGCAAATACAGTTTCAAGGGCCCGACCTTATCGAGTAGTTTCATCGGGTGAGACCTTGAACTTGCAGTTAATTGTTGATAATGCCCATGCGGCAGCATCATATTTCAAAAATCCTTCACCCCTCTTTGAAGCACGCTATGAATTTGTTCACGGACCTCTTTGTGGACCAGCAGTGCTTGCAGCTGCTTTAGACGGAGAAATTGTATACCCACATCTAGAAGCATTAGGTTACACAGAACCTCCTAAAAGAATTCAATGTATATGGGATCTAGAAATTGAAGAAAAACGAGATATTTGGTTACATTTCGATAGTATTAAATTTGCATCAAGGCATTGTGATGATGGAAATATTCAAATATTTTTACCAGGAAGAATTGAACCGTATCTATCGATTTGTGGTGAAAATGTGTCCTTGGCACGTGAATTACCTATATTATCAGCTGGTGAATTAGGTTTTGAATCATTAGATGATCCTTTAGTTATAGAAAAAGAAAAGACTAGATCTATTAGGATAGTTTTTATTGGAAGTGCGTCCCCGGCTAGGGCTACTTTTAAAATTGCGTGGACTGGCTTGTATCATTTGCCTAAAAACTCAGACGGTACTTTGATGACTTCAAGACTAACAGATGGAGGTATTAAATCAAACTCTGGCCAAGGATGTGATTTTATTTGCCCAGGAGATGAGGCCCTTTGCATACCAGCTAGACTGATCTGTAATGGTATTGTTAATTGCCCCAATTTTACTACAACTGAGAGGAAATTCTGGACAGCTGAAGAAAAGAGAGCACGAGAAGCATACTCTGAAGATAGTTTGCGTAGACTCGGATACCTTGATGCATTAGGTGGAATACCTCTCGGCCAGTTACACGATGAAGCTCCCCAACTTTGTGCGGGGGCTAGGAGTTCTGGAGGAGGAGATTGGATGGCGCCTACTTTGGGGGCTGGATTAGCGATTGTTTTAGCTGTGTGTGCGTTGGGAGCCGCATGGCGTCTTTGCTGCCGCAAGCGCTCACCAGATGAAGAATCCTTGGACTACTGACATGCGGCTCGCGGCGCTCCTCATGCGCCGCCATCTCTGCGCTCCCGATCAGAATCCAGAGATTTTGGATTGGACTGGAGTCTTCATTGACAGACACCATACTGAGCGCCAGAGGCATCCTTCGTTGATTATTAAAATTGGACACAAAATGTGTAACGCACAAAATATTTCCAATTAACATATAAATAAATAGCATTTTTTAATCTTGTTTTTAACTACGTATTTGTTTTTACACGACACGATAAAAAATTATTATTGTTGCACATGATTTTTTTATTTTGCTTATTGACTTTAATATTACCACATAATGTTTTATTATGGAAAATATTTTTATTTTTATTAATGTTTTTTTATTAAAAAAATATTATAGTGAATGATTGTTGTCTTTATATATACAATTTGTAAGTGTTACATTAACAATTTTATTATGAGAATATCTTTGGAGGGAAAATATTCTGGCGCTCAGAAAGTTTTTTTTTATAATTAGTGTAAATACCCAATTTTTGGTTAATCCTTATCTAATGGATGCTTGAAAATGAACGATCATAGGTTAGAAAAAGGTGATAGTAGCCATACAAATAACGAAGTAACGATTATCTAATTAAAGTTACTGCCCTTAGGATTTGTAAGCACAATTAATGTTAAAAAAATCTGGAGGAAAAGTTAAAAGACCATTACAAAAAAAAGTTGTTACTAAAAACCTTAAATATAAAAAATACAACAAACTGTTGGTGTATAATGTTATTGTTAAAATAGTCAACCAAAGTAACAACTTACATGCGCTATACTGCTGGGCACACTCTCCCATTTGACTTACTAGAAAGATTACTTGGTAAGACTACTATGAATAATCTTTCATGTTGTTGATAAGCTACCAACAAATTGTTTGGTAATTAAATGTAGTATTATTTTAAATTCTTCTTATAACATTTTGTTTCTAAGAGATGGAATACATAATCTGCAAGTTATTCGACATTCCCCACAACTTAATAGTAAATTTCACACTAGTAATGGTTTATTTTAAAGATCTTATAACATTTCAAACAGATCATAACAAAAAAAAAACACAATCAATTTATATTACCTTCATAAGGTGTATACGTGTGCAAAATTTTGAATGCTTTTAAATGTTTTCGCTATGTTCAGCAGAAGTTTTGATTGAGTGAATATGATTATGCCTTTGTACATTTTCACATATTTTTTGACTTAAAAAAAACGAATTAAATAATCCCAACACTTAAAAACAAAATTGTAAATATATAATTTAGAAATAAGTTCGTTCATTCAATTCAATTTTCTTATTATTGATTATTGTACTCGTTACTTCTACATAAGTCGAATAATTTCCATTATTTTTTATGTAAGTGTAGTTTCAAGTTAGCGTTAGTTGCTTAGAATGAACTAAGTTTCAGTAAATGCAATAATTTTGAGAATTTATTTCATATGGTCACGATTATAGCAAATCGTACTATTGTAACAAATACTGAAGAACACTGCCCTTTTGCTCCTACTTTTACAGCATTAGGATTGTTATGGTTTTTACAAAGAATAGCTAATGAATTTTATTACCTGCTTAATTGTTTTAGGTTCAGTTATATTTTGTAGTTTGATGGAAAAGCTAGAATATTTATTTTTCCGATAATATTGATTTGTGATTTTTAAAGCCTCAAAATCAAATGTATTGGTAAGTTTTTATCTTTCGTTATAGTTAATATGTTTTGTAAGAATTGCAATTAGTAATAGTTGTAAGTAATAAAAAATGTTGAACATAAATATATATTTTGTACAAAATCAGTGTTATTTTTAACTAAATTTACAACCCATTGACGACCAACTGGACACAGGCGTCCTCTAATTTCTAAGAGGGTTTTAAGCAGGGAAGAGTCCGCCGCGCTGTCACCGTGCGTGTTTGCGGACTTCACATATCTTCGTAATATATTTTTTTTAATTTTTAGTCATGCAGGATTTCTTACGATGATACAAATCCAGTACAAATTGTATGATGATGACAACATTATTGAAATTAAACACATAAATAAATATATGAATATAATAAACACACAGTAGACTGAAAAAACACAATGATAATAATTCCGTGTGGTGGCCGTCAACGTCACAAGGGCATGGAAATATCTGTCGATATTTATATTTAAGGGTTTAAAACATTATCTGGATTTCTTGTTTATATCCATAAACAAGAAATCCAGATAATGTTTTTATCCACATTTTCTTATTTTTTTTTATATAACCTTAACCCCAAATTCTCACAGAATCCCGGAGTAAAATAGCAGCTTAATGCTGTTGTGTTTCGTATGGTGAGTGTAGAGAACCGGAGACCCTTTCTACTGGAAAGGAGGCATTCCATATTAGTCCTTACATTTTTTTGGTAGACAACGGTCACGGTTGATAGATGTAGGCGTGTATGGGCCACATGTGTAGGATTTCTCCTGTATTGCAAGAGCCAGCTTACATACATAAATTTTACAAGCACAAACATGCAACCCGTAACAGTAATTTATAGGCCTTACAAACATTGTTCCTTGCGGACTTCAAACTCGGGGTACCCTCAGCGCCGCACTCATTGCTAAGCCGCTGCGCCGCGGAACAGTGTCATGGCAGTTATCAGCCGTGGGTGAACAGGACATATACCATGACCTATAGTCTCTAGGAGAGACTATGCCAGTTTCTTGAAAATAATGCTTTACCAGAATATCAGCTTAGATAGTAACATAATGCTTCTGTTTCGTAGAGTGAGTAATGAAAGCTGAAGATTATTTTTACTGGTGACGAGGCATTCCATCTGTTCCTCAGTGAATGACAAAGCATTTGCATTTTGATTCATAATAGAGGATAGATGTAGGGTCTATGGGCCATAATATCCACTATATCAAGTCATCTGTTTGCTTGTTTGATATCCTATACAGAAAAAAATCATCGTCCGATGACTTTTTATAAGTATAACAACTTGATATGCATAATACTAGACGTGGCGATTACAGGAAATTTTATTACTAATAATTTATAGATGTCCAATATCCTTTGGACAATTTTATTTATCATGATAATAATGATTAAGTCTTAAAATGTAACAAATCATTTGTTTTTTTGTTTTTAAATTTGAAACAATTTTTTATAACGAAATATTAAAAGATAACTGTTAGATGTTGAAGTGTTAATTACATTGTATACCCATCTATTCGACGCAACGTTTGAACAACCCATTGAATTCAAATTAGAATATGTACCGTATGGTTTTCCAAACGATTTGATTCTAAATGCTGATCACATACACATCAAAGCTAAACTGATGCCTGCTGCTTTATATTTTGGCAATATTGAAGTATGGAATATTAAGCGTAAGTGTTACAGTATATTTTATTTTAGTCTTTAGAACGTTGAAGACAAAAGTAAAGTTTGAAAACGGAAATAAACTTGTATGACAGCTTATAAAAATCCACTGCTCATCATGGGTCTTCACATAGATTAGCTCATAGGCGGAGTTTTGCCATAGTTACTCCACTTGGCAGGCGAGTTGGCAACCGCAGTTTTATTATTTTCTAGTTGTTATTAGAAAGATGCTGCTGCCCATCTCCTGGTTCGATTCCCCCTGTCGCCTCTTATGACACCCACGGTTTGAAGGGGTAGGAAACATAAATTACTACCTATCAATCATCAAATATAATACATCACTGAAAACTATTATTAATAAAAACTAACAAAAGTTCATGGCCCTTAAAATACGAAATGAATAATTCATCGGATTGCAATATTTTCAGCATTTTTTATCAGGAATTATTTATTGTAGGAACAACAAGTTGGGCTACGCCTTATAAGTGGATGGTAAACCTATATCTATCCCAGATTTAGAATCAAAACCTTACTGTACCTTTTACCCCCGATGAAAGAGATGTAAAGCCTCGTTTCCAGTAAAAAGATTCTCCGAATATTTACACTGGTATTAAGACCTGCGGTTGAGCGGACTCACTCGTGTTATATCTATATACATAATATAATAAACTTCTATATACCTATAATAAATCTGTAGAAAAGTCGTGTCTGTAATCCTAATATTTTCTGAAAAAAATATATTCAGGGGACTAAATAAAAGACACTGAAGCCAAATTAGGAATTTTTAGAATTTTTGTCTGTCTGTCCGTCCGTCTGTCTATGTGTTCCCGATTCACGCAAAAACTACTAGATAGATTTCCATGAAATTATGTATGTAGGTAGTTAGGGACCCGAAGCAACTTACATACACCGTGATGAGGTTAGGGTTCATATAGGAAAAATGCTAAGTCAGGACATAATTAGATCGTTTAGTCGTAGAATTTCGAAAATTAAACGAAAAACTATTGACGACAAATATCTGATCCCCAACATTAATGACGTTTTGGATAAGCTAGGTAATTGCCAGTTTTTCTTGAACCTTGATCTGGCCAGTGGTTTCTACCAGATCGAAATGGACCCAGAAAAATTACCTAAAACAGCATTTAAAGAAAAAAATGACATTACGAATTTTCGCGTATGCCCGTGGGCCTGGAAAATTCGCCATCAACCTTCCAACGGGTGATGGACAATGTCTTGAACGATCTCCAAAACGTTATCTGTTTAGTCTACCTCAATGACATTGTAGTTTTCAGTACCTCACTTCGAGAGCATACAGCAAATTTCAAAGTCCAAAGTCCTTTGGGGCATATCATTACCATAGACCGCATCAAGCCGAATCCTGACAAGATTAGGGCTATTTAAAACTATCCAATGCCCAGAATCCCCAAAGAAATCAAGCAATTTCTAGGCCTAGTAGGGAATTATACAAAGTTTGTCCCTAGCCTCACGGGCAACACTTATCCATTTACACAGAGCCTAAATAAAGGGAATAAAGTTATTATTAATTCAGAATGTATAGATTGCTTTAAAAATGTAAAAAAAACTTTTAACTAATGATCCGATTTTGCAATACCCAGGTTTTAATAAGGAGTTAAACTTAACTACCGATGTTT